CCTATCTCCAGATGCCTCAAAATCCATTTCTTTTCAGGGCCTTTTCTTTATATAGTTCCTCCATTCCGGACTGCTGACTCAATCCTGTATCTGTGCTTGGCCTCCTTTTGCTTCAGGCATGCATTGGTAAAGTCTAGGAAAAGTAGAGCTCAATCTCTAGTAACCTCTCAGGTTGTCGTGTGCTTTCCTTTGGATCTTGTATACACATTTGCCTATTGCAGGTCCACCCGCTGCAAGTGACTTTCTAGTGTAGAAGGAACTGAGGATCAGATGATGCAGTTGCATGCAGGGCACGAGCTTTTCTCCATCATCTCTCACACATCATTAGAAGGGAATCATTTACTAGTTAGACTAGCATCCCTGGGAGATCTCAAAGTCAGGCTTTGCCTAACTTGACACTTTTTGTAAATTCTATGTTGTAGAGCCAGGAACGTGCAAGTCCTGAGAAGAAAAGTGTTTTCTGTCTCTCAGATGGCACTTCATTTCAGTTATTCAGATTTTTTTAATGTTACTTTCCTTTTAGACTTATTCCAAAATCTTTTTTTTTTTTCTAAACTGATTTTTCATCTGTATATCAGGGATTTTGGCATTATTTTTGCTTTTAACTTATTTATTCTGCTTTGAAAAATAGTGATTGTCTCTACATAGAGAGACAGTCCTCAGTCATGGGTTGTTCTTTCCAACCCTTTTTATACATACCTCTTTTCCATGGCATTCCACGATTCTGAGCAATGATTTGAACTGCTGATCGCAAAAACATAGTCATCGAGTAACACTCTGGGGAGGACTTACATAATGAAAGTCTTGGTCAATAGGCTTTAGAAGAAATGAATGAATTTACACTGTATCCCTGGAATGTTTAATGGTGTATACAGTTGTGTGTCTCTCTGTAGGGCCCATTATTGTTCCAAAGTCATGCAGCAGGATTCTTAAAACTCATGATTTCTAAAAATAAATCTTTTGAAAATGTTGCAATGGTTAGTGGTCTACCCAGAGCCAAGGGAGGTCTAGACACAGTTCGTTCTTCTGCCAGATAATTATTATTCATCCTCAGCAAATTTCTTGGTCCTCAAGTTGCCTGTATAAAATGGCAAATGTAGTGTTGTCCTATAATGGAAATTACAAGGTAATATGTGTGATAGTCTATAAAATGTTCATATATCACAGTGACTACAGTTATGATTTCCCCTTTTTAAAAACTCTTAAAGTTTAGTCAAGGCTGGAATCATGGAGGCCATGATACCAGCTTAAGATATTTTTGCTGAGACTTCAGCATTTGCTTCTATTCTTATCTCTGTCAGTGAATCAGCATGACCTTTTAGGGGACTGTCTTGTAAATGGATCAGCGACTTTTACAAAAGGAAAAATATGCATCAGTGTTGCTTAAATATGTTTTTATCTGTATTATATCTCTATAAATACATTATTATGAACATGCACGTAAGTTTTGCCAGTTGCTTGCTCTGGTTTGCAGCATGACTTCACAACACAATTTTGTGTTCACAAAACAGCTGAAGAGATCAGAATCAAGTGTAGGGGTTACGGGAGCACTGTATTTTGTGTAATTGACACTGAACCCCTAGTAGGATAAAACTAAGGATAGGTAGGATTAAAAAAAAAAGTCATGTACTTGATGATTTACAATAAAAATTGGAATAGTTGGGATCTCTGTTTTGAGGGCTGTGGTGTCCTGTGCCGAAGAAGGAACTGTGTAAATCAGTATCAGTTGGAGAACCAGCTTGCATTGTTATTAATGCTTTGTTATTAATACCCTTTCCTTTCCTTCCTTCTGTCATTCATACCGTGATGTTCCTTTGCCTACTAAGTGAGCATAAGTGCTCTAAATTATTTCCTTTAATACTTGGGTGAGCCATTTTGATGACATGGACTGAAGATTTTTTTTCTTTTGTTTTTTTCCAGGCACATTTGTGTGGGATTGAAATAATGTTTTCTATGTGGGAGAAATCTCAAAAACAAAATTCTGTGATTCAGTAATGAAATATTAATGAAGCATAGAATGGGTTTTTGAATGCTTTTCATGTTCAGTTTCCTCAGTAGAGGTGAGGTCTGCAGTGAACCAAAAGGCATTCTTTCCCATGCTGAGTTTACCTTGACAAATGGACAACATTTAGGTACTGCTATAGGGTTCTTACAAGTTCCAGTAGAAGGAAGGGGTATCTAATCTGTAATCCTGCTCTGTGGCCTCTGATTCAAGGGGCAGAATGGTATTGAAGCTTGTAAAATCTTTCTGGTGGCACAAGCCTAACCCTAAGAAAGTCATTTGTTTCCTTTGTACTTGGCAGAAGGGCAGGCTGATCAGGAGCTTTTTGTTCTGCTGCCTGTTGCTCAGCTGTGGATGCTGAAGGTGGGTATGGACCATACTTGTTTCTTTTGTTGTTCAACAGAGTAAAAACTTCATTTTGAACGAGTTGTGGTTAGATTTGAATGAAAGGTACATTCAAGTAATGGTAAAGAAAACAAATATTTGGTAATATTTGAATACAAAATATGCAATTTTAATGTGACCCAATAACGAAAACTTGTTAAAAAAGAAAAAAATCTTGGGATGGTGAATTACTTTTTTGGTTGTTTGTTTTAAACCATGAATAGAAAATTTCCACCAAATTCTTTGTTTTGTAGTCTATGTCAGTGAAATTTTATGACAACTTCAAATTATTGTATACCTGTTAAACAACAGGTTTGCATTGGCAAGCCAGTGGGTGCAGGAGAAGAAAAAATACTTTAAAATACTTGTAATTTTTTTTTTAGCTGAAGGCTTAATTCTGTGTGACAATAAAAATCTGTGAAAGATATATTTAAAGCATAGAGTTGAAATGGCACAACTTTACTCAGGCAGTAATTGAACTTGCAAAAAGAAGAGCTTCTTGAGGTTTCTGAAGCCCTTCTCAGGTAGGCCTGAAATGCTTCTGATCCCCCAGGTTCTAATGGGTCAAGCTGGTACCTACAGCTCTCTCCCATGTTTTCTTGTAAGCATCTTGGCCCTTGATGATGGCTCGCTGTGAAGTTGGTAGGTTCGTCACAGACATGTACAGAAATGCCACTGTAGTTACTGCTAATTTATCTATTTTTTGCCTGCGTGTTTTGTGGGTGTCCCTTTCTGCTGCACTGGACCATATGGCCTGCTGGGTCATTATTTTGCAGTCACATGATGGAGAGATCTGATGCATGTAGTTCTGGAATGAATTTTAAAGAACTACGTAGATAAACATGCTTGATGTGTGTTTAGGCATGTGGTTTAAATATTATTCTAATGGGGAGCGGAAGAATTGAGAAAAGGTACATGTACATACACTGTTTATTTCATGGCCTAGAATGGTTAATGATGGAGGAATTGTGTCACAGAAAAAGCCTATCAATAAAGATGCAGCATAACTTTAGGATGAGGATTCTGATGATGTTACATAAAAATAGTATTTAAAGGGGTTGCCAGCTATAGATGTCTCACATTGAAGAAATGATATACTGTCTTTTCTCAGAGGTATCTTACAAAATAACTAATCAGTGCATTATGTATGTTAAAAGGTCGGTTGAAATTCTGCCCAATTTCTGCTTTTTCTGATAGCTTCACTGAGAATTGCCTCCTAAATACGCATTTTTATTTACCAAAAGAAAAGAATAACCTGAATTATAATCTGTTTCATTGCTTTGTGCCATCAGCGCGCTCTTTTTACACTTATGTTCTGCTGTTTTATGATTACATAAGAGTAATATGAAACACCCCCCAAAGGCCCAGGATTTCCATCCCTGTGCTCTCAGCTCTCGCTCGTCCATACGTGCACGCTCGTGCCCCCTGTGTGCGAGCCCTAGCAGGCATGTTGCACTGCGCTCTGGAAAAGCAAGAAAGCATTTGGTTCTGTGCTTCTGATTCACGGGCTACACACAGCGCAGAATGACCAATTACTCTATGCAAGAATCATAACATGCTGGTTAAATAGCGTGTTAATAGCTGAAGGTGTTTAGCTATCCTAACATTTCAGGTGATTTCAGAATTGTTTGATTATTCTGTGAAAGCAGCTCTGCTTTTCGTGTTATGCTTAATTATGTCACAGTTGATAGTGCCACACTATGTTCATGCTTAATAGACACATGTGCCTATTCGATGTATTAGGCTGTTCCGGTTCCTTGTCCCATGACATTTGCTTCAGTCAGGAAAAAAAAACCCACCAGTGCACGTAGTTGCTGTGCATTTCATGAGCAGGCAGAGGTGAGCTGCAGCGAATCTACCCGTTTGCAGTGTTTTATTGCGTGAAAGGAGTATCATTACCTCATGGCTCCTTCTCATAAGCAGCCAAACAGTGCTTGACATTTAAAGAGATTTTCTGTTGTGCACTTGTATAGTCAAGAGTAATTTTAATCCTATTAAAGATATTATGTCATGGAGGTGTGCCCTGGGGGAGAGGGCTGCTGCTCATTGGCTGAATGGAAAGCAGAGGGGAGGGGTGACCGAGAGGGTGGATTTATTACTTGATAGTTAGGTCAGGGATTTCTGTGAGAAATGCCCAGTGGTTGCAGTTGCTGATGATTTCACGTCAACAGCAGTGCAACGCAGCATGCTCCAATAGCTGAGTACTGAATGAGATACTGCAAACCGGTGGAAAAAAAAAAAAAAAAAGAAAGACAAAAAAGAGCCAGCGTATGAGAAGCAGCCAGAGAGAGCTAGGGAGGCAAGCTGAGAGCGAGGAAAGTGCTCGGGCTAGGGGGAAGTCTCCCAGGTGTACTGCAGAAGCCTTTTGGAAATGGATGCAAGGACCATCTGCTGCCGATAGATCAGGGACTGTGGACTAAGGACAGAGTGAGCTTATGGCTCTTTTGAATAAAACTGAAGTTCTGCAGAACTGATTCATCAAGATACATCATGAGTATGCTTCTGCATGAGATATTAATGTATGAATCCACACTAGAGATAGAGTACAGCCTACTGTGGTATAAAAAATGAAAAAAAGCAGCAACAATGCAGGGAATATGGCAGTGAACATTGCAGTGATTATCTGATTTATATGCAAAGAAAAAGAGAAGCAAAACACAAGCAACTTTTGTAGTACTATGGAGTTTGCGAGGCACTGCATTTAATGCTGAGAGATGCTAAACATTAAATCTGACAACACTGAAAAGAGAGATCATGGAGAAGTCAAGTAGTGAGGATTCTTCAATTCACCGGAGTCCATCTTTGGATAGCAAAGACTCTGACTTTGCTAAACCTTCTACCTCAGGGAAGCAATTTGGTCGAGGTTTTACTGCTGGAGCTTTCTATGGTACAGCTGGATCACGCACACAGAGCCACACTGGGGTCGGAACTGGGACCGGCGTTGGGACTGGCAAAGAAAGTGACAAATACAGTGCACCCAAAGGCAGCAAATATGTGGTCTTTTATCTGGATCTATCATTTGTTTTCCTTTTAGAATTTAAGAAGTGCAACATGGCAAGAGGCTGCCTGTGTTGTTTGAAATACATGATGTTCCTTTTCAATTTAATATTTTGGGTGAGTACTGTCTTTTTAGTTGTCTTCATTTGTTAGCATATCCTGTACTACTGCATTATGTGTACAGTGCATCTTTAAAGAACTACAGTAAGCTCCCCCCCCCGTTTCTCTCCCTCTCTCCCCTACACGTAAGGAATATTTTCAGTGTTAAACCTATGCATAATGGGAAAATATACTTGTTTTCTATGTCTTTACTGACACATAGTTATTGTACTTTGACTACCAATTCTTAAAGATCATGATTTTAATGTGTGTTCAAGCTGGGTTATTTAAGGAAGGGCAAAACTGTTTTAGCATTAAAATCCTGTTGTAGTAGGATTTTTACATTCTGTTGTAATACCTCATGTTGCATTAAACTGCAGTTTAATATAAATTTAAAGTACAGCCTCATTGCTGCCATAAATTCCATTTCTTTGTAAACTTCATTTGAAAAACTGGTTTATCATTTGAAGAAATTCATTCTCATTTCTTCATTTAAAAAGAAAAAAAATCTTGCATGCTGCAGCCTCCTAAGGTGTCAGCCTAAATGTGGAATGATTGGAATGCTGAATTAATCTGTATTCAGTTTCAGCTGCAGTTGTCCAAACTGGCATGTAAAGTTGGAAAGTAGTGCTTTCTTCTGAGGGATCAAAATTGATTTTCCTCCAGCAGCCAAGTGGCAAAGGAGTTATAAAAGTGCCTTAACAAGCAGATTAAAACATAGTGAATGCTTTGAGCAAACTAATGCCATGGAGAAGGGAGGGAAATAAGGTTGAAGTCAACCATCAGCTGGGCATCCTTGAATGAACAGTAAGTCTGGGAAAATCAGAAGCTAATTGAAACACTGTTTTTTTTTTTTTTTGTCAATACAGCCGAGTATCAAATCAGTTTCCCTAACTGAAGTCAAAGGCCACTGCTTTTTTATGGTTTTAATGCTTGGGCAGATGAAGAAAATGATTCAAGGTCATAATCCAGAAATACAGAGTATGCTTCAGAAGTAAATGAAATTAGCTGGGTTTAGTTTGGAAGAAGGAGGGGCATTAATAGTCTCGTTCAGAGAGCTACCTTTGCTGTGGAGATACCAGTGTTCAAATTAGGAGTCTTACTAAGAGCCTCTCTGTTTGTCATGACCCACTTACTGAAATAACCTTTAAGAGCAAGAGGTAATGGGAGATTTGGTATGGGGTTGGACCAGAGCAAGCATGCATCAGTGAGCCATAGCGGTAATAGACTGAAATGTTGCAGCCACTGAAGGCATGGGAGACTTAATTAAACAGTAGGGTGGAAATCTTCATTGAACAGAAAGATGGGACTGGCCTCTGAGAAACGGCCGATTCAAGTTCCTTGCTTCACCCTTTTTTTTGATTGTTTGTTTCTCATTTTGTTTTGCTTTTTTTTCTGTACACCAACCACAACAGAAAGTTTCCAAGTTTCCTCACCTGTTTCAGGAATATATCCAGGACACCAACTTTATATCAGACTGGCTATGTGACCCAAAAAGCTGCATTGCTGTGACACCTTGGAAGTATTTCTGTTTTTCTTATGCTCTATGTTGTGATTAGTTTCGGAATAGCCTGCTTGTTCTCTGTGATCAGCCATTAGTAGCACTCTACCATTTGCCTTTAGGCTCAATATCTTATTTTCATTTTCATCCCCCTCCCAAGCAGCATTTTTCTTAACTGTGTGCAAGCAGGCCTTCCCTTTTCTTGAACTTGCACAAAGTATTTCCAACCTCTTCTCTGTGCTCATCTCTGTATTCTTGTTACTCAGCTTCTACTAGTCTTTGGACAATCACATTGCTTCTTGTGTTAGGACTTACCTACTACCATGTGGAAAAGTATACACTAGTATCTCTGTGCTTTCTCAGCTCTTATTCTAACCTCAGAAACCTCTTTTCCCTCTTCTCAATATGCCTTTGCTTTCTGTGTTTTTACGGCTTTTCTTACAGTTACTAATCTTTGTCATTGCATCTCTGTCTGATATTCTAGAAATGCTTTTTGTATGAGCTAGGCTATGCAAAATGTAAATGGTGCTGTTGAATGGTGAATCTGATGGTTTATAGAGAAAAGCTGAATGCAAGATGTCACTTTTAAAGTAGCTTGCAACAGAAATTTGAACCACTAGCCTTGTGTAGATTGTTCTGAAGTTCTGCTGGTTTTTGTGTTGGTTGACTTAAATTCAGTCTTACAGACCAGTCTTGAGAGCAGCTTTTCAGTGTTTTCAGAGGACTGTTGGATATTTTATTATTTTATTTTATTTTATTTTTTAATGAGGTATTTTATTGTCCTGTGTCTTGGGCGGCTCAAATGAATAAAACTGTCATCTCCTTTTCTTCATGGAAAGGCTACCTAGAGTGAAGCACACTATATACAGGTGTTCGGTGATGTGCCACCTCTGGCTTCATACCTGGAGTCCACATGAATTCCACCCTGGCTGTGTGACAGGCCTTGGATGTTAGCTGAGTTCCCCATATGCCCCTTGCTCACGCTATGCTCTTGCCAGGGTCTCTCTCTCCCACCTTGTAGTCTTCTGCTAGCCCAGCCCTGGGTTCTCCATACAGATTTGTCCGTACGTGCATTCCCACTGGGCCCTACAGCACTCCCTGTTATTTGAATCCCAGCTTCCCCAATTCTCCACTTTCCTGATTTCCCAGGAAAAAGCCTTCAAAGCCTCTCTCCCACATCACTACCAGGGCTCAGGCCAGGATGGCAGCACCCCTCTGCAGTTCCTTCATCATTTCCTTTGGAAGTTTTGTTAACGTACCCAAGTCCAAAACCATGAAGTTATGGCCTTCTCTTAAGCAGTGACAGACATCTTTTGTAATGCAAGGAGATTTCCTTTAGAAAAAGACACACATCTATTTTTGAGCATGAACTCTCTCTCAGCCTGTAGTTTAAAGCAGAATGAGACTCCTGATCCCCTGAAGTGCATATCCACGTAAGAAGCAGAATTTTTATGTAGATGTTGATTTAGGCAACTGGAGATTGTAGTAGAAAAGCTGCGTTTCAGGGAGCCTTTAAACAGGTGCCAGCCGAGCAGCTGTGTGGTGAATGCAGCAGTTAATGGGCAGTCTGCCCGCCCAGCCTGCGTGCCACAAAGCTGCATTGTTTCATTGTTTTCAGCCTGCAGGTGCAGGAGGCTTGGCTCATGTGAAGCATTATTATACTGTAAGAAATCAGTGTTTCTTAGAACTTCGTGGATAGTTCCCTTTCCACATCAAAAACGGTGGTATCCTTTGATGTCTCAGGAAGGATTGCTCCCTTCGTCTTGAGAGATCCTCAAGGTTGGTCCTGTATGTGGGCCCGAAGAAGGATGCTCTTCTGTAGAAAAAGAATCTTACTCCGTTATTTGCTTCTTAACAGCATGAAAAGCCTGGGAAGTATTCTGTCCATCACGTGGCACCGAGATGTCCTTCTCCAGCCTGGCAGCCAGCCCGTATAGATTTGGAGACCACCTAAATGTCTATTTGAAGATAATGGAGATGTGCAGTGGTTAATAGGTTTTCTCTGGTTTTATGTACCAAGTATACTCCTATTGGGACAACTTTGAGGAAGAACTGATGTATTGTTGCTGTCTAATGAAAATTCAATATCGGTGAATTAGATTAATGACAATAACAGACAGTTTTTGAAAATTAGCTACAGATCTATTAGTTAATGTGGAATGATGAATTCTGCCAAGCAAGTTGATCACAGAGGGGCCCAACAGAAAATTGAAACTGTAGGTGTTCCTGTACAGTATCATTAAGAACTCCAGGTATTTCTCTGTGGTCATCTGTGATTCTTAGCAGTTTTTCTTGGCCATCTGGCATTGCTTTCTTCTGGAGATTAAGAAAGTCTGAGCTGAGGGTTAAGCAAGCTTATAGTATTTAATTGTGTGGCTAGGATGATGATTTACAGTGAATTTATCCTAAGTGCATAATATGTTTTGCAAAGGGCCTGGGCTAGTACATATGTTAGTTGATTTAGTTTGCCTTCAGGAATATTCAAGTGTACATGTATGGAGATTGTAAAGTAGCCGATATAGTACTGCAGATAAAATTAAATATATACGTGTATATTTTAATATTTGCAGATAGCAGCATAATTGTCAAGAAGATGGTAAACAAGTACCAAGATTACTGTATAGATGTTTATGGGATAGATTTCACTTCAGTGAAATTAGGCAAAAGAATTAGATTAATTGTTTTCCCAGAACACAATTCAGAAAATCTTACTACCTATAAGAAAATTCTACAAAGCAGAAATTTTGAAAAAGAAATTTCACTTGTGAAATAAGTTTCATAGTGTCCTAAAAGGGAAAGTTTAGAGTGACAGGAATAAATTTTAAAATCTTCAGTAGAAAAATCTGCACATAATGCTTGATTGTGGGTTGTGGGTTGTGGATCAAGCATTGCTTTGTTCTATTCATTTAACTAAAATTACATTTTTGTATTTCATGTACATAGAGAGACTCATATTACACATTTTGTTACATCTTAGTCTATTATTTATTATTTTATTACTTAAGTATAATAAAATTCATTTTATTGGAGGGAACATCTGGCAAGGTTATTAAATCTTAATGTTTTCTTTGTTGCAAGTGGTAGGAAAGTGCTGTGGTTCATTTATTAAACTAATTTGAAATTTAGACTACGTATATAAATTTTATACATTTATAAATAAATTTTATAATAGGTTGTAGGCATTTTTCTGTTGCTAAAATATAAGACTACAAGAGAAAAAACATGGTCTGGAAAGCTAGCTAGTTGAGAAGTAATAGCAAAAAGTTAAACACAATAAATTGTTTGCTTATTCTTTTCTGTGAAAATAACAGAGCCTGCTTATCTGAACCTGTTGGGCAGAGAGTCGAAGCTTGTGAGTAGGCTTTGTCCCTGTGCATAACTGAAAGTTAATCTTTCAAGTTTAATGACTTTTGTGGAGTCCTTGAAATGAGAACAAAATGACAACATAGGACAAGGGAACACAATCAAATTCACCCTGTTATTGTCCTAACCCTCACTGTGTGATCTTGCCTCCAAT